CTCTGGTCTCGGTGACGGGATGGATCCAGTCGAAGCCGTCCATCTGGAGCACATCCAATGGTTCCGCCTCGCGACCCGATGCCACGGGCATCGGCTCCCGACGGGCCGTTGCTTCACAGATGCTGCACTTCAGCTGTCCTGCCAGCGCGATGACCCAGGGCTGAGCTCCCTTCCTCGTGAGGTAGGCGCGCATGGCATTGAGGCCCATGTGATTCATGTTGACGTGGATGCTCATGAGCTCCTTGACCAGGTCAACCACCTTCGGATCCATCTTCGTGAGGTCGTCCTGGTTGGCAGTCGTCTGGTTCATCTCCTCCTCGTCGGTCGCGAACACTTTCTGCACCTCGAAGTAGTCCTGGGCATCCTCCTCCATGATGGTCGCAGCCCACTTACGGCACATAGCTGTTGGATATCGGGCCGTCTTCCCGACATCGACGAGGCCGGTCTCGATCACGGTGTGCTCGTGGTCACGCGTACACCTCCTCCGAAGTCGGTCGGCGAGCTTCTGGTTGGTGGTGACGATCCTCCAGCCTTTACGAACCAACTCTCCAGTCACGTCACTCCTCATGCCCCAGCCGCATCCGTAGCTGATGGTCTCGTACAGCTGCTGCCACACGTCGTACAGCTCCGGAATGCTTCTCCAGGAGCTTGCAGTGAGCGGATGCTCCACTGAAATCTCGGTGCCGACCTCCTGCCACGCATAGATCAGCACCTCCAGTGTGTTTCTCATGACCCTGCGTCCCCACTTCCTAACCTTCATCAGTTTCTCCTGGGACTCGACGGTGTTGGGCCTACCGTTTTGTAATGCTGAGAAAGGCGAGCACGGAGGGGAGGCGTGGGCCCAGCGAGGTCGCTCCGTCCTAATGAGTTCCTTCGCCTTGAGCACAGAGGACTTCTTGGAGAAGTCGAAGAGGTTGAACAGGCCCATCCTCGTGACCACTCCTCCCATCTTCTCCACCTGGCTGCCCAGAGAGCTGTCCGGTGGGACACAGATCTCCAGCAGGTCGGTCCTGCCCTCTCGGGCCATGGAAGACAGCTTCCGGATCCCCTGGTGGTCAAGCTTCGCGGCCGCTTGCAGCGCTTTGTGTCTCACTCGCTGAGGTAGCTGACCTACCATTCGTAGCTTATCTCCCGCCAGCTCCACCTGCCGAGGTGAGCTCCAAAGCCCTTCGCCTCTGTGAACTTCTTGGGGCACCCGTTCTTTGCGTACTTCAGCAGCTGAGCCTGCTGTGACCAGCGCTTGCGGGACTGGATCCTCAGCACGAGCCGCTGCCACCGATTGCGTCCAGCCTGCTCCACGGTCTCCGACGACCGATCTGGTTCCTCCGGCTTGCTGACTGCCGTCTTGGTGTTCCGATTCTTGCCCGAGGGGAGCTTCTTGAGGAAGGGAGTCGTTGGCTCTGGACGTGGAGCGAGTGTCCCCTTGCTCTCTGGGGGTCCCACTGGATGGACCTCCGAGGGCTTCGGATCCGACTGTCCTGATCCTCTCGGCTTGGTTCTCGGTACCGTCGGCAACTCCCTGACCTCGGCGTCCACCTGCAGGCTGCGACCCTGATCCTTGGCCCAGGCGGTCTCCGCCTCGGCGAGGAGGTACTTCCAGGACGTAGGTAGCGTTCCAGCCCTTGCTCGACGAGCCGTCTCCGCGAGCAGGCCGTCCTTGGCCGCCTGTCTGGCTGCCTGATCCCTCAGTTCCTCCTTCGTGTCCGGGTCGGTCACGGCGAACAGCTCCATCGCCTGCCCCCTTCAGGTCCTCGTAGAACTGGATCGGGCCTGCCTCCGTCGCAGGCGCAGCCGACGGCGAGGGCGGCACTGAGGAGGGAGAGCCCTCCTCTACGTTGGGCGGTCCCACCATGTCCCACTCGAACTCTTCGTCCGAGATCTCGACCTCTGATGATACCCATGGCCCCTGCGGACTGCACATGAATATCTTCCTTGCTGAAATCACGAAAGCTCCTCCCGGAGCAACTGCTTGGCGAAAATGGCTTCGGAGGCGGTGGACATATACCTGGCATGTGCTGCTCCGTGTTCTCATGGCGTGCTGCAAATATGTGTGCGTGACATAGCCTGTCTTGTGCATGCTGTGGCCGTACTCTATGACATGATCCATCTCGTGCATGCTGTAACCGTACATGTTGACATGACCTATCTCGTGCCCGTGGTAGCCGTACTGCAGGACATGACCTGTCTCGTACATGTGGTAGCCGTACTCCATGACATGGACTATCTCGTAAGTGTGGTAGCCGTACTTCATGAAGTGCAGTGTCTCGTGCTTGTGTGGCCTGGGTCCTCACCTTGGGCTCCCTGGAGGTCCCCATACTGAGGCTTTTCGTTTTCTGCACGCTGTTTGCTTCTTTGTACTGGAGAATTGCAGTGGTTTTTGAATTAATGAGCGTGATCTTCATGTTATCCTGACTCTGGTCTTTCCAGGGGACTCGGGGCGATCGATGATTGATGGGAGAACAAACTTGAACTTGACAACTTCTCTCTTTTCCCAATCCTTCGGCGTTGTCTCGGCCTCCGGCTGGGCACCCTCAAAGGACGGGCAGTGCATAGTGGGAGCTGGACAGCTTCACCACTGGCTCCTCGTGGCCGTCGGGGTAGACGAGCGCCAACCTGTCCTTGACGAGGTCGGCTCCAGACTTCTCGAGATAGTCAAGGCCGAGCAGCATCGGGGACTTGGTCTCCACGAGATCGAACCACAGCTTGTTGTCGTCTTCCACTAGCGCCACCGGATGCTCGAACCCGAACTTCCCGATGGACTGGCCCTTCTCGCCGCCCGCGTATGTGAACTTCGTCGTCTTGCTGTAGTCCATGGTGACCTGGTCGATGCCCGTCTCCTCCACGATCGTGTCCTGGATCGCAACGGCGAGGTCCAGGCCGATCATGCTCTTGGAGGCCCCGGTGTCGATGATCGCGTAGCCGACCATCTCCTCGTGTACCCAGCCCGCCTGGCCATCCTCTGGCGGGATACCCTCGTTGCTGTAGTTCGTCTCGTCAGTCTCGGCGTCCACGAAGCCAACCTGCCCTGAGGCCATCTGCATGTTGTTGCCATCTGCTCCGGTGCTGAGCCGCTTCGGGCAATCAACTGCCCGATGCGGGCCCTGGCAGATCAAGCACTTGATCCCGCGGCCCTTGCCCTTGCCTGTCGGACGGCGGCCCACGGGTTGTGGTGGGGGAGGAGCACGGCGCTCCCCTCCTTGTGGGCCTGGAGGCCTGGAGGGCCGCAGCGCCGACTTCGCCGTCACAGCTGCTTTGTGTGTGTCGCGCTGCTGCTGCTTCTCCGGGAGCTGTCCTATCCCAACCACTGGGAAGTAGCCACTCCTGTTCTTGGCCGCCTCTGCCAGCATCTTCTTGGCCTCCGTGAAGGTCCGATGGGCGTCCTGAGCGTACACCTCTGCATCCTCTGCGAATGCCTCCAGATCTTCCATCTGCTCTTCGGTGGCGGCCTCCTCTTCGTAGTAGATGTCCTCCTCGTCGACCTCGTGGCTGCCCTCGAAGAAGGCCTCGTCCTCTTCCTCGTCGTCCTGGTAATTGACCTTCGAGCGATCGCGACGGCCGTCGCGGGTGTTCTGGATCCTCATGTCCTTTCGCCTCGCCACGATGTTGTCCCTCGCAGCCAGGTCCTTGTCCGACCATACGTTCTTCAGCTTATCGACCACTGATTCGATGGACCAGTCGTGGAGGCCCGCCACCACCGTGGCGCGCTCGCTCGGGTCGAGGCCAGCATTCACAAGGAAGATGATCCCACGCAGCTCGTCGGGGATCAAATCGATCGCGTCGATGCCCGGGCAGATGGCCCGGACACTCTTCTCCATCTCCTGGTAAGCATCTTCCTCCTGCTCCGCGTAGAGGCCAATCGTCTGTCCAAGCTTCCTCACTCTTGGGCCTGACGTCTTCCGATCGTAGTAATAAGCGAACACTTTGTCCACCACGTCACTCGATGCCTGCTTCCCCAAACTCTTCTGAAAGGCCCTCAGTAAGTTCTCTGGGCCCTTTTCCCCTACGATCGTGTCGGGCGTGTCCTCCGTCCGCGGAAGTCGCAGGGCCAGCTTCCTGTGCGCAGTATTCTTCGGGAGAGCCTGCACCAGCCTTGGTCCTAGCAGCTTCCTGTCGTCTTCCTTCGTCGCCAGGGTGAGCAGCTCTACCTCAGCTTGGTACTCGTCCAGGGTCTCCGCTTTGCCGTCCCACGTCGGTATCCTCTGAAACTCGACGCCTTGGCCCGTGCTCGATGATGCCATCTCAATAGCGTTGAGTCAAGACAACACTTCAACCAAGCTCCGCACTACCAATGATTTGTCGCCTCGTCGAGGTTCACTCGAAGAGAGATAACGAGAAAGTAAGATGATATCAGCAATCAACTTCAACGATGTAAAGTGGGAAGAGTGTCTCTTTCCTCTGGGGCAAGGTGCCAGGGGCTCGTTCACGAGCCTAGTCAAACAGAACAGTTCGATATGAAAACCGCGCACAGAAAGCTCGAGCACTGAATATGAGTACAGAAATCCACATACTAACCTTGGTTAGAGTTCTAGACAAAAACCTGATTTCTACGAGACTCCTCTCCTCGCCATCCCCTCGTTCCATCTTGACCCCGCGTCCTTTCTCTTCGCCCCCCCCCTGCACCTGCACCCTCCTACCCAGACCTCCGACCTCGTGACGCTCTGTAGCCCATGGCAACCGGGGTTCTCGAACCCATCCTTGAGGGGCGGTTTTGCATCCCAGATTGTTTCCTGGTGGCCTCTGGGCCCGACAGTGGCCCTCGGGGCCCGTAGTCGGGGAGATCTGTTAGGATTGAAATAGCATTCCGCTGGATGGCCCCCCTTCCCATGCCCTGTCCCTATCTCTGGGCCGCCTTGCTGAGGCCCGAGTCCGCTCTTCTCCATCCCAGCATCCCCGACGCATGGCCGATGCATCGGCGACGCGGCGTAGTGCTCCAATCCGTCTGCTCCTCGCCCCACATCACTGGGCGTCCTCCGGCATTTATCCTTTGCCACCGCACCGAGGCAGAGGGACAAGCCCCGCTCGAGGCCGAAGACCAGGAGCGGCCCCCACGGGCGAGGCCACCTCTTGCGCCGCGGAGCCTGCCGACGAAAGTGTGGCCCCGCCCGCCACCCCTGTCCTCGCGTGCAAGCGCGAGATGGTCCTCCTCCTCCTCCTCCTCCTCCTCTTCCTCCTCCTCCTCCTCCTCCTTCTCCTCCTCTTCCTCCGCCTCCTCCTCATGGTCGTCTCACCCCATGGATAACGGGCATCACCGACATGGGTCTCGACATTACGGGCATTACGGACGCCATCGCATGGGGCAAGGATGTCTTCTCCCCGGGCAAGGTTCAGTGGTCAGTGTAGCACTTGATCGGGCGGGTCTTCAGGCGAGTTCGCCGCCTAGAACACGAGTTGGAGGCCTAGAAATGGGCACCAACACCAACACAGGGAGTTGCCTCCACATGGGGAAATGATCCTAGATTTCGGTGCTGGTGGCAACATTTTGGTCACCTCGGAAGCCAGAATATTACCACCATCACCGAGATCGGGATCTTCTTCCCTCGGTAGATGCATACCGCCGATATTGGTGTTGGTGTCAATCTCTAGGCCTCGAAACGAGAGCGCTGTGTCATCACTATCCAGTCGCCCTTCGACGCCGCCTGAAGGTCATGCGCGCTGTCTCCCGATCTGCCTATATCGTTTCTCTTCAAGAGTCCCACGGCGATCAGCCTGCGGTCAAACGAGGTCTGCCAGCACGCAGGCCTACTAACTCATCAAGTGTTTGCGTCGTACGCCCCAGGGTCCAAGACCGGGGGGGGGGGCACCCTGGTCCCTGATGCTGCGGAGAGGTCTTTCGGGGCAGATTCTGAGGAGGTCGTCTTAGGCCGCCTTCTTTTTCTGCGCATCAGGTCCCGAGTTTGTGCTGTCCACTGCTGGAACATCCATAACTGTGGTATCCCTGCCGCCTCCTTCGAGGAGGTCCAGAGGAAATTCCTAGGTTGCCCTCGTCAAGGCTTCACCGTTTAAGTGTGGCGTGGCGCTGCAGGGCGATAAAAACATTACAGAGGGAAGGGGCGCGTGGAGATCGGCGGTGGAGTCAAATTTGAAAATGCGCACGGAGCAAACTGATTCGAACCCCATTTGATGGCACCAGGGGGCCCAGACGGAGGCCTGCGTTGACCCGTGTTTTGCTGCGACCCCCCCGTGGATCTTTTGTGAGGTCGTTCAATCGTGCCGCAGGCACTACGAACTTCACGAGATGTTTTCGTCACGGATCAGCGGCCACACCCCCGCGGTTGCCGTGTTGCACGGTCGCCCGAAAGCCGGCATTTGGCGTGCGCATGATTGCTCAAGGAATGACGGGCGCGCTCTCGAGCCTCGCCCGTGTCCGACACCTCGGCATGACGTTTCGGATCCGTTGTTTGAGAAGCTCAGTTGAGTTCCCTTGCGAACTCGAATCTCTAATCGGCCCATTTATGTGCGATCCCCCTGGCTCCTCGACCTAGCTACCAAATGCAGGCAGGCCGCGGGGCGCGCGCGTAGGGGCCTCCAGCTTGCTGTCCAGCCTCGCGCCGGCATGTCTCGTGCGATGGTCGCTCGATCGATATATAAGTGGATGAGCCTCGAGGCGCAGTGAGAAGCGAGCTCGGGCTTTCATGGCACGTCACCCGCGGGCTTGGGACCACATAACTCTTGATCCAGTCGGCTCGGCCTATTGCTCGACGCGCACGGGTTTCAAGCCCTTCACGCTCCATTCAGCAGCAGGGGAAGAGGAAGATGAAAGAGCCCGTCGAGGCCAAGGCCCAGCGGGAGTCTCGCTGTGGCATGTTGACCAGGGCCCATGCCCGCAAAAAAACTCCGGTCAGGCAAGCTCGTCTGCGGTGCACATTCGGGAGGGTGGCCGCGGCGCGGAATGTGCGAATGTGCGCGGTGTCGTCGCTTCCCCCGGAGGTATCGCCGCGAAGCTGAATCGATATTGGGCCCAGGTTTTAGGCGAGTGCTCGTCTCTGCCTGCAAGGGCCAATCGTTATGCTAGAATGTTTGCGTCGTGCTCTCAGGACGTCGGCTGGTTTTCGCCTTCTTCGTTTCGGTCGATTCCGGCGCACTTCGATCGGGTCTCGCCCTTAACCCCAGACCCTGACGGGCTTGCCCTTTCGCGCTGGAAGCATCGGCGAGGGCCCATAATTTGGCATCAAGTGCTCTTGCATGTTCTTGTTGGCAACCACATGCCCCCACCAACTGTCGCGGCGTGCCAGGTCTTCATTCCTCAGCCGGCGGCGAATGAGTATCCGACCCTCAGGGCCGTCACTCGCTCGGGCGGTGAGGTTCGCCCCTTCGGTTTCAAAAACCCGCCCAACAAGACGGCGGCTGCGTTCATCAATAGATCGGCTCGTCGGGCCCCGCAGTCGCTTGCGGCCCCATCACGAAGACGTTGCATCCCAGGGCGGAACTTTTCGAACAACATGGTCGACCTTGACTATGCTGGTAGAGGCAAGCGTCAAGGCCCAAGGGATTGAGAGCCCCATGACCCCCCCTCTCTGTTGGTTTGTGGATTTGCCGAGCGCCCCCATCAGTAAGGCAGGAGTCGGTGCATCTCACAGTCAGACTTGCCCCACTCCCCGAAGGTTTTAACGTGTTGTCTCTGCTTCCTACAACCTCGGCCCTTGCTACTCTGCGCACGGGGACGTTTCGGTTGTCCAGTTTTGGCTCGTCCCTGGAGCCCCCCAGGGGCGTCCGTTACCAGGCGGCCGTTTCATTGTCCGCGCCGACCCCCTCCTCAGAGATGGAGGTTCACGCGTCGAGGAAGCGCAGGGGCATTGTGCGCGCGTGCGCGGACGACGTTGGAGTGGTCTCGCGGAACGAGCGAGCCCTTTTTCACCTCGGCGGGATTATGAGGCTCGCCGCCAGATTCGCTACGATGGCCCTCGAAGCTAGGAAGCGCGTCGCGGCCCCTCTCTGGGGCCAGGTCTCTGACGGCGCGATTGCCGACGCGCGCCCTGCCTTGTCAGAGGGCGCGCTAGCTTGTCTACTGCGCTTAGCAATGCACATTGGCTGCATAGTTGGGCCAGGGGCCGTGCCTCAGGAGTGTTGGGGCGCCTTCTCTGCGGTAGCGCTCGACCAGGTCACTTCGCCTGCTGCTCGAGGGGCCCCTCGTCCAGTCCCCGTCCAGATGCGCCAGGAACGCGCGGCCACGGTACTGAGATGTATGCAGCAGCTCTATCGGACCCCTGGAAAGAATCTCAAATCGACAGGAGGCGCTAGGCGAAGCTCTCCACGATTCCATTTGGCCTACTTCGGCGGGGCGACTGGTTCCAGCTGGTTGGGCAAGGCCGCGCGCAGATATAGGGTCCCCTCGCGATCGGCCCCGGGACGTTCGCGCGTTATGCCCTCGCCACACACTGCTTGATGTCGGGCTCATCGAACGCGTCCCTTTCCATATGATTGAACTTCTTGGGGTCTAGCTCGCGTCCCTTTTTCGACTTGAAGGTCGGCTTGAGCTGCAGGATCAGGACCTCTTTCGGGGCGTCGTCTGGTACCGGTAGGTCCACTGCATCAGGTGCCGCTTCGGTAATCGTTCCAAGAGCTGTCGGTGGCGATGTAGGTATCTTGGACCTCTCTGGTGTAGCAGGTGCTGGTGGTCCAGCCTCAAGCTCTTCCTCCACTCTGGGCCGTACGTGACCCTCAGAGGGTCTTGCTGCAGGTGGTATGTCCACCTCAGTCGGCACCTCCATAACCCGAGGAAGCAATTAAGACCCCCCCCCCTCTCCGGCGAAACTATATCCCCCCGCACCTGGAAGCGTTACTCCGGCACCTGCGGCTAGGAGGAGGAGGAGGAGGAAGCACATCGCCTGAGACATCCTCGCATTTCTTAATAGAATTGGCCAAATCGCTGGAGACATCCTCACATTTCTTAATAGACTTGGCCAAATCGCTTAAGACATCTTCATATTTCTTAGCAGAATTGGCCAAATCGCCTGAGACATCCTCACATTTCGTACGAGAATTGGCCAAATAGCTTGAGACATCCTCACATTTCTTACGAAAGTTGGTCAAATCGCTTGAGAAATCTTCACATATCTTAATACAATGGCCCAAATCGCTTGAGACATCAACGCATTTCTTAATAGGATTGGCCAAATCGTTTGAGACGTCGTCGCATTTCCAAATTGAACTTGCCAAAGTGCTTGAGACACCCTCACATTTCTTAATAGAATTGGCCAAATCGCTCGAGACGCCCTCACATGTCTTAATAGAATTTGCTAAATCGCTTGAGACACCCTCACATGTCTTAATAGAATTGGCCAAATTGCCTGAGACGTCCTCATATTTCTAAATAGAATTGGCCAAATCGCTTGAGGCATCTTCACATGTCTTATTCGAACTGGCCAAATCGCCTGAGACATCCTTACATTTCTTACTAGGACAAATTTAATCGCCTGAGACATCCTCACATTTCTTAGCAGAATTTGCCACATCGCTTGAGACATCCTCACATTGCTTAGTCCTTCTCCTCCTCCTTCCCCCGCTCCCTCCTTCCCCCCCAGCTCGCCTTTTTCACAGTCCTGGCAAAAGTAGGGCAACCTTTCAGTGCTCAGGAGAGTTCCTGCCTGTGCCTGGCGCCCTTTCAGAGCTCAAGCGTTCAGCTGTCAGATAGGATTGGCCAAATCGCTTGAGACGTCCTCACATTTCCAAATAGAATTTGCCAAATTGCTTGAGACGTCCTCGCAATTCTTATCAGCATTTGCCAAATCGCTTGAGACATCCTCACATTTCTTAACAGACTTGGCCAAAATCGCCTGAGACATCCTTACATGTCTTATTAGAATTGGCCACATCGCCTGAGACATCCTCGCAATTCTTATCAGCATTTGCCAAATCGCCTGAGACATTTTCATGTCTTAACAGACTTGGCCAAATCGCTTGAGACATCCTTACAGTTCTTAGTAGAAGTGGCAAAATTACATCCGATATTTTCATACTGCTGAATAGAATTTGCCAAATCGCTTGAGACATCCTCACATTTCTTAGCCGAAATAGCAAAATGGCATGAGACACCCTCGTATTTCTACATAGAATTGGCCAACTCGCCTGAGCCGTCCTCGCACTTCTTTTTAGGATTGGCAAAATCGCCTGAGACATCCTTACATTCTTTTTAATAGAATTAAATAGCCAAATCGCTTGAGACATCCTCACATTTCTTAACAGAATTGGCCAAATCGCTTCAGACAGCCTCACACTTCTGAATAGAATTGGCCACATCGCCGGAGACATCCTCGCAGTTGTATAAGCATGTGACAAATCGCATGGGACATCCTCGCAATTCTTAAGAAAATTGGCCTACTCGTCTACTCGTACTCGTACTCCTATTCGTTTTGTTACTCCGACTCCTACTCCTACTCCTATACTCCTACTCCTAGTCCTACTCCTACTCCTATACTCCTACTCCTACTCCAACTCCTCCTCCCTCTCCTCTTACTCCGACTCCAATTCTTGCTTCTACTAAGGGAGCCTCACGACCCCTGCGCGGCCCAGGGAGCCTCATAATAATCCAAGATGGCCGAGAGGTTCCAGAAGAATCCAAGACGGTCCAAGACGCATCGCAAGGGGTTCTCATAGCAGGGCCCTGGAGATGCCTTCAGCCAATGGCCCCTCGCCTTCCCTCAGTGGCCAGGGCCTGTCAGGGCCCAGGGAGCTCTTATTCTCAGAGGCCTTCGGCCGATCCGCTTGACCTCCTCCCCCGTCGGGGTCCAGGGCCTCTCAGGGCCCAGGGAGCTCTTATTCTCAGAGGCCTTCGGAGGC